ACATACACATACACAGTACTGTACAGACACATACACAGGCCTGTACAGACAAAGTGCCACCTCAAGAGATAGAAACCTGTGCAAAGTAATAAACTGACCTTGATTTTCTGCATGAAGCTCTGAAGTTGGTCATCTTTCTCTATGATTGATTCCAAACAGGAATTATCTTCATTTGCGCATTCAAAGTTCTAAAAGTCAACAATCGCAAATAGAAACTCATACATTGACTTTATCAAAGATCAACTACAGGGTAAAGTCCAGCAATACCTTTATGTTTTTGACATATTAACCACATTAACTTTCAGAACAACGCTGAATATACACATCAGGGCTTTTTTTTACTACCTTATAGTCTCCAGGGTCTGTCAATACAATTAAATCAGGATCTGTTTGAAGTGTATTCACTGACATCACTGTTTTCACAAACGAGCCAATGATCTCTGCAAAAGTCTCCTGTAATTCAAAGAGATACTGAGAATTAAATGGGTCATAAATGGCGTAACACGTAACAGTTCGTAACAGTTTGGAAGACTAACCTGAACGTTCTCCTCAGAGGGTTTGTAGGTCAAAGCATTGAGGTCCAGCATCAGCTCAGAGAAGAGCAGAGGTTGACCACAGCACGTTTCTGACTAAGACACACACACACCAACCAAAACCAAAACTGAACACTGGTCTGTACCTGCTTGATGGATATAGTGATTACCATGGTTTAAATTGAAACAATCCAATAATAATACTGAAAGAATAGCCTACCTTCTGACTCACCTCTTCTTCAGGAGGATCAACCTCAGGGCTCAGGCTCCAGCTCTGAATCGTGGCACGGCTGGGTGTTCCACGTACCTGCTCTTGGAGCACAGCCAGTAGTCTGGCCACTGTATTCGCAACTATGATGCACAAGGTGTTTGCAACCATATAGTCAACAAGACGGATGAAGCTGGGTAGGTGAGGGGCAGAGAAGGGTTCAACTGGGTTAATGTGATGGACGTGTCACAAAGGAGAATAACCGGCGTTACTAATAACATTACCAACTGCTTGACAGATTTGGTGCCCAGGTCAGCTATAACAGTTAACTGGAATTCAGCCATTGTTCATTTAATTTTGTACACTTGTGTTTTTTGACCGTGACATGTAAAACAGCTTACTGTGATTTTAAAAAGCAGGTATGTCTGCTACACAAATAGATACAGAAAGCAAAGAGAATTAAAGATAAAGACTTACTTTTTGGTCTGTGCAACAAACATCTCTTCCTTAGGACGAGCTGTGAAACACAAAGCATACTATCAACCTGTTCACATTATGGTCTAGGCATGTACACTCCAGTGTCTCCAAACGCTCAGCGTGCACGCACTTGCTTTGGCTCGAAGTTCCGTCGAGTAGTTTCGGCATGCACAAACGGTCACCTCCTTCACCAGCTCTTGAAACTTCCTCAAGTCATTCGACACCTGATGATAATGAACAAATACGGGCAATGAGCAGCTGAGGAAGCACACGTCAAACATCTGTACCAATTTATGTATCGATGTACAATTGTACCTCTTGTAGTTGTTTTTTCAGGATGTCCTGGAACTCCTGCAGTGTGTGAGTGTGTTCTTTCTCCATGTGACACAAGTCTGTGTCACTGATTTGATAACACATGTTCCTGATGTCCATCAGTGCAGGATTTAGAGACTGTATTACATATACAAATGTTAATTAAGTAATAAAATGTTGTAAATCTGTAAGAGATTTGCTCAGTGAACATATTTACAGAGAATGAAATTCCATACTCAAGATCATCAGCACAGATTAAAAGCACATCCAGCCCTCACATACACACTGTCATATACCTGATTCACAATAAACAAGCTGCTGTGGAGGGACCTCCTGGCCACATGAAACTTCATGGCACGAATCTTGGTGCGCCAGATGTAAAACGGTTTCCACTTTTTGAAGTTTGCAATGAAGGGAATGCGGATCAGCTTGGAGTGGTAGTATTCCTCCTCTTCCAATCGCTCGCTGGGTATGTACTCAACCTCCTCCAGTGTCAAGTATCTCTTCAGAGAAAGGGGCATAGTGGGGGGAATAGGGGTTGACAGCACATTCTGGGACATCTGAGAAGAGACACAATGGCAAATTAATTTCCTCCACATTCCTGCACAGAGCTTATTCAAAGTCAATGAGCAATTAATTGGGGCTTAAACAAAGACTTTGTCAAGCTTCTGCCTGAAGAGTCTCATTGATCCGAGAGCATTTTGACGTTACACTACATTTTGTCACCAGGTATTGAAACTTTTGAGGAATCTGTCTATCATGCACTATATGGACATTTTTCAAGCAAAGCTTATTCTCTTTGTAAACATGTCCGTCACTGACCGTGGTCCTGGATTTCAGAGAAGGTAGGTGAACAGGCAATTTCTTACGCCGCCTGTGTGGCTGCTCTGTTTGTTGAGATGACGGCAACTGAGTGTCCCAGCCTGGAAAATACATCCGCTCACGGTCCTTTAAGTGGTGCACGCTGGGTTCTTTCCATCTTCTTTTCAGCACAGCCTAGATAAAGGCGAAGAAAGTGACATCTACAAAAGTCCAACATCTATATACCGTAAATACTTTTTGACTGAGCTAAGGATGATAGACTCTATATTAATGCATCTGAAGTGCTACATTGAATGTGCAGGAGATGGTATTTCATATTGTCAGTTTGATCATATTTTTGCCAAGTCTCACCTGTGTGTCTTGAACCACTGGGGGCCTTGGGAAGCTGGCGGTGGCGCTCGGTAGTTCAGGGAGCTGCAGCCGTTCTGGGACAGGATGTCACTCAAGTTAAGTTTACCCCGGACACTGAATGAACAAGGTGGAGCTGGCTCAAGTTGTGGCAGCGGCCGCTAGCAGTGGCTCTTCCTGTGGCAAGATCAGCTGCCACGTGACTTGCCACGATTTGGGGGTGGGGCGGCATGGCAGTTGCCAGTTTTAAGCCTTATTTTTTTTGTATTTTGACAATATGTGACACCATATTAGGGTCCTTGAGAGTTCGACTGTTGGTAGTTGTGCTTCGTTTAACCGTTTTGATTTAACTAAGCTAACATAAGCTAACGTCAGTTTGGCACTTGTTGCTACGGCAACGATACACACTTTCAATCAGTGCGCTTCAACAAGAGCCAACTGACGTTAGCCTAGCCTAGCCTAGCCTAGCTTAAGCCTTTACTTTTTTGTAATTTATTTGACAAAATGTGACAATACATTAAGGTCCTTGAGAGTACGACTGTTCTTAGTTGTAATAGTTCGAGTTAAAAAATGACGAATATTATTGCTAATTATTTTCTATTAACTGACGGGGCACCTCTCCCAAACGGCTGTACGTTAACTGACGGGGCACCTCTCCCAAACGACTGTACGTTAACTGACGGGGCACCTCTCCCAAACGGCTGTACGTTAACTGACGGGGCACCTCTCCCAAACGGCTGTACGTTAACTGACGGGGCAAGTCGTTTCAGCTGAGCTTGCCACAGGAAGAGTCAGTGCTATATGCTGCCGCTGCCACAATTTGAGCTTGTTTGTACAATGAAACACGTCAGACATAACCAACACATTTTCATAAAACCTAAAGCGCCCCGTCTTAGCTGGGCCTACCTCTGGACCCCCGTCTTTCACCAGACCTCGGAGATGCAGGGCCCGGTGAGGCCATGTGTCCTTACAGGCTCTGAGACGGTGGAGGGACAGCAGGACGGAGCAGTTAGTGAAGTAGTAACGTCAGTAAAAGGTTATTTTATCAGATAAATTGTTTTATTTTCACAACTAACTTCATATGTAACGTTAAGTTAGTTAGTCATATTGTGTCTGTATACTTGACAGATCATTTTCATTTTTTAGCTAAATTCCCAAGACTGTGCAGCGATATTGTTTATCGTGCACCGTGGTTACTGCAAAGGGAAAAGGCAGAACTGTATCTGCCTCTATTAGCTAACGTTAGTAACGTTAAGTTACTTAACGCGAGTATCAAGGTTGAACCGATAACCAGCTCTAGAAATAAAGAGTTGTTTGTCATCGATCTAAAATAACTTAAACTGAATAAAACTGCGTATTTGGATTTGTAACTGTTAAAGATAACGTTATCTGACCTAACGTTAGCTCATGAACGCTAACGTTAAGTTAAACTTGCTGAAAACCTCTTCGAGGTATTCAAACATGCCTAAAACAATAAAAACAAACATGCCTACCGTACCAAATATTCAGCTCTGACGAAATGTGTTGGTATGGCTTCTATAACTAATGTGGATAAACGTTCTCTACGTTATAACGTTAACTAATGCACGTTATGTTCGCTGACCCGGAGCCGAGTTTACCGTATCCTAGCAACATCATTCTCTTCCGTTGTGCATCTATGCAGCTTAAAAAAGAAGCATTTAACCCTCAGACAACACATGTTATGATTGATATCATCAGGGACCCCCAGGCTCCCCAAACCAGGTGTAATATTTTTAACCCCACAAAATAAAATGTCATGCCATAGAGGGACCCGAAGCATTGGATTTCCATTTCACCGTATTTCTGTGTACACAACAAAGACCAGGGTGTATTTGGAGGTATTTATTTTGTAGTTACACATCAGACACATTCAATCCATGGCACATTAGTGCACAACATTAGAACACACTGCCTTCAAATAACCAGATCACAGACAACACCATTGTTGTCTTATGTCTTTGGCCAAATGTTGATATTGATAAAAACAACAATGTGCTCTAAACACACATTGTGTTCCTATAGCAGTGACAGACGCCGTTATAAAGTCTCTGGATCAACCATGGCTGCTTTCCTTCGCTGTGACGCTAACATACTCAGCTGTTAAAATAAAATAAAGAAAAACATAAAGCATAATAAATGAATGATGTCAGTATTAAATGAGATGAGAAACTGGAAAATACACATCTCTCCATGTCAGGGTGAAGAGTACCGTTACCTGTTGTGTAGCAGTAGTTGCCTTTTGTTCAGCTTGTGTCAGTCGTCTCTGAAGACGACTCGTCTTCTCTTGATACTCTACTAGCTGCCTCTCATACTGCACGCGCGCCCACACACGCGCGCACACACACGCACACACACACACACACACACACACACACACACACACAGAGTTAGTAGATGTTTGACAGTCCAATATTCTGTTGAAGTCCATCGGATGGACGCATGAATTCACTACTGTCTTTGTAACGCTGCTTGGTACTTCTGACACTTGTAGGCTTCTAGTAAAATGCCTTCTGCTTCTTGTAGCTGCTGTTCTGAGCACACTGTTAAACATGTAGAAGATGGCGTCCTACAATGCAGGACAAATATATACATTTTCTTTTTACAAGACCAGAATTTTCTCAGAATAACTCACCATTTCATCTCCCTTTCACACCAGCCACTCTTGCACTGAAACTCGAGCTGCATGTTGTTTGCGTGCATGTGTGTGTTGCACAAACCTCAGCAGCAGTGTTCTGGTGAGTTTCAAGCTGCATCTCCAGCTCGTGTGAACGATGCTTCTGCCGATTCAGCTCTGCTCTGAAACAGACGTAGAAAGAGAAACCATTTCATCACAGAGATGAAACATTAATAAAGCTTTTTAAAAATAATTTCTAAGTTTTCTTTTAAAAATGTTTCAACATGTACAATATTTCCAACACAGTGAAGTACAGCTGTTGCTTTGTCCTTTATCCAGTGTGTCCAGTGCTATCCTCAGGCAGTATCAGAAGAAAAGTATTGAATTGCACTTTTTGTAGTAAAAATTGATGTACATTTAAAGATATTGGGATCAGAACAGTGTCACAGTCTGTCAGAAATCCACTAGTTTCCATTTGACTGGTTATCATTGTACGCTTTTATTTGACCAGAAATCTTTTTGTGCACCACATTGCTTCACATTCATCTACACAAGGAGAACACACCACACTGACAGATATTGTTAGAGTAGGCCTATTATATTCCCTGTCTTTTGTTAAGGGTTTTACAGGCAACATTTTAGTCCTGAAGCACATTTCTCAGTGCATGTTTTGTATCCTTCTTTCCTTTCTTTAGTAACGTTAAATCTATCTTCACAAGTTCTTACTTGAGGCCAGTGATTTTAGTCTCGAAGGCCTGTACAAGGTTCTTAGCCTCTTCTTTCCAGCGCTGGGTACTTTTCTGCTGTGCTGTGAGGAGGCGCGTCAGATCAGCTCTGGAGCTTTGGCTGCTGTCCTCCAGCTCCTGCACGCGTGCATCAAGTCCCTGCTCCTTCAGGTTGTACTCCTGCTCCATCTGTGAGAGCTAGAGGGAGCGCAGCACAGTCAGGTGGTGTCAGGTCACCTGGCTGGTCCAACATCAGTTCAGTAGATGAAAGAAGAAACGCTTGCACAATAAAAATCCATGATATTCGTGTTATCATTGCATAATATTAGCCTGTATCACTATGTAAGCATGACTTGTTGTATTGCAACATTTATTATATCATCAGTGTTTTATGGTTTTTAACTTTAACTTAAGTTTCTAAATATTTCTTGCAGTAATAGCTTCCCGAGTGTCTGGTATAGAGCCCCTCTTCCGCCATTTCCTTCCCTTTCTATCTATCGTTAGGTTACCTGTTGTTTGGCCTTCCTTTGGATCAGCGAGGTAGCCTTGCGCAGCTCATCCATCTCCTTGCGGAGCTGCAAGTTCTCCTGTTGCAGCTGGAGCCGCTCCTCGCTTACACCGACACAGTCGTCCCGGGCTGCAGCCAGAGAGCCCTGCAGCCGCCGCACTTCCTCCTGGCACCGTAACAGCTCCTCGCTGTAGCTACACAAGCACAGATGCATCAAGAAAGGAAAGAGTGAGAGAGACGTCGAGGAGGACAAAATGGTTTAGTTTTTATATCCATCACTATTGGCAGCCACGTAGGGCACCTCCCCCTGCTGTTGTGAGGATGTGAGCAGGAATGGAGTAAAGGTGGAGTGCTCAACTTCCTGACAAGAATATGTGGAGTTTGAACTAGTGAAGAGCAAACATACAATGCAAAGCTACACTTACTCCATCTCCATCTTTTTCAGTTTGTTCTGTGTGCTTTGCAGAGTGAGGCTCACGTCTTCCTTCATCCTCTCTGCATCTAGACACCTCTGGTGAAGGGCATCCATCTTCCTGAACTCCGGCTCTGCCCTGCCCTCCTTATAAACCTAAAACAAAAACTACTTTACAGTCATGCAATCAAACACCGTCAGAACTCGGGAGTTTAGTTTCGTAGCGTCTTCCTTGTGGTTTCACTGATACCTTCTCCAGCTCCTCCTCCACAGCTTCTGTCTCTCGCAGGGACTTTGCAATCCGAGACTCTTTATCTGCACACTCCTACAGAGAGGTGGGACAGAGAACAAGGAGTCGGAATGAAAAAATAGAAAACACATGAGCAGACAGGTGGAGTCTGAAAAAAGGAGTTAATGTAACGTTGAAGGGGATTTGTCTTTAACAGGCTCAGTTCTTACCAGCTGCAGTGCAGACAGCTCCTCAGCCATACGGTGGATCTGAACGTTGCACTGCTTACGCACATTATCCACCTGTTAAAGATAGTGTCACATGACTACTGGGATCCGGGCAGTGCGATCGCTTTGCAATTATATCCAATAGACAGTAACCTTTATGAGATGGAAAAAAGGTACTCGAGTTGGGGACTTAACTCAACAGTTTAACGTTTGGGCAGCACGTTCAAATGACTAACATCACCTGAAACTCACCAGTCAAACGCACTGAGGCTGTGAGGGTCCTTTTAACACTAAAGACCGGAGGCAATGGAACAATCAGACCGATAAAGAGGAGGCTGCTGCATGTACCTCTAGCATTTGCAAGGTGAAAAATCTTCGGGCACTAGAATCGATCATGTGGCTCGCTTGTCCAATCTGAATTAAAGGTGCAGTGTGTAGGATTTGGCAACATCCAGCGGCGAGGTTGCAGATTCCAACCAACTGAAACTTGTGTGCCAAGTGAGTAGGAGAACTACGGTGGCCGGCGCGAAAACAAGAAAATGCAAATAGCCTTATCAGTTTGTCAGTTGAGGGCTACTGTAGGAAGATGGCAGCTGGCTCTGTGAAGAGGACCCGTAGATATAAACGGCTCATTCTAAGGTGAGGAAAACCAGTCAAGACATATTGCTGCATTTCTTCACCAGCTGTCCACCAGTGGAATAGCATGAAACCATCTGCAGCATGCATCTCTTTCATTCACATGCACAAGCATCCTTGTGTGGGCACAACATACAGTACTAATGCTGCAGTTACACTGCACGGTGAGGCACAGTTCAACTTAACGGGCTCTGGTTTTCTATTAGCAGAAGTTGTGGATAGCGCCTGCTACATGGTATTTATTTTGTGGTAACACCGTGCTCAATGTTCCAACCAAGCTGAATAATTGATAAGCCTGGAAACACCATTATTTCTGGGAAACTCAAACCCTCATGCAGAGCTGCCTGAGTGGTACTTAAAACCTCAGGTAAGTCTGAGGTCGGTCTACCAATGTAAGCAGTTTTGGGATGAATTCTTAATTCTACATACTTATCTCAAGTGAATATGAGGCAGATGGGAAACGAAGGGTAACAACTTTATCTGTGGCTGCCATGTTTAACATCAACCTCTAACTCCAAAAGAAAATGTCCTGCAAGTTAAAAAGGCAAAATCAAGGGAAGGTCTCTAATGTACAGAAAGTCAAACACATCAACTGCTACTCTCTTAAAGAACATCA